ATGAATATTTGAGTCTAGGATATGCAGTGTGAGCTTTAAACATTAAGAATAGTGTTTTAAAAAACAGTTATTTGATTCTATAGATGCCAACTCTCAAATATTTTTTGTGATATTTTTCAATTACTTTTTAATATCTTTCCCTTTAAAAGAATTTGAAAAAATTTAAAATTTATTGAGGGTAAAGTTTAAAAAGAAAGCCTTTTTTCTCTATTTAAATGGAACAAATATGGCTATGTTTTCAGAGACTACTTTAAAATCTATTTTTTGAACATACCTAATATTCAATAAATAAGGGTATTATGTAGTTGGGCAGTAAATGATACAGATTTTTTTTTTATCCTTCCATGAGGATGAGAAAAGTGGAAGTGTTATTTGGATAAATTCGTTTACTTCTCAAAATGAATGGTTAAAGGTCAAAAATTCTTTCTTTCTAGCCAATTAATGCAACAGGGTGAAGCAATTTTCACATGTGTTCAGAGTATACTATTTGCAGTGTAGGGGAAAAGGTAGGTTTACTTGGGCAAAATTCTTTTTCAGAGTCACAATTTTTAGATAAAATTTTAAAGGAAATATGTTTGATATTTTAATGTAAAGAAATAGTATATATGCATTTATATGTGTGAGAGTATATATACATATAAATGATTTCTTTTGTTCCTCTCTACAACCTTTCGTTAACATTTGACCAATAAACTGTCTTTATTCAAATAAATTATTAAAAAATGAAAGTTGAATTCACTAATAATAGTACTAATGATATTGAAACAAGATGGAAAACATTCAAAGAGAGTGCTGAGGGCTGAAGCTTTCAAGCTGTTCTAGACTTGGGGTCATAACTGCAGAGCAGTGGTAATGATACAGTTTCCATAGTAACCGATTCATCGGAGGGCTAGACCTCTGTCTAGGGTGCTGTCAGTGTAAGTAGAGTTTCAGTGAACAGAAAGTCCCAAAGAAGGGTCTGCTTCTACCTAATCCAGTTTTAATTGAACTCTAGAGACTTTGAAGTGAAGCCTCAGACCAGGAATATACTATTCCAATAAGAAATAAACCTCTTGCCTAGCTAGGTCGCAGCTGCTTCTCAGTACTGACACCTTTTCCTAATGAATACTTTAAAGAAATGTTATTATATCAATTTCAGCTAGTAATTCTCTTAGTTAAGAAATTCTTTGTTTCTATTTTAAATCCCACTATCCTGACGTTAAGTACAGATTTTCATTTCTTGTTTGTTTTTGTTTTTAAGTCAGTCTAATTTTATCTGTAAGATTTTAAATGTTGATAGCTTTGGCAGTTTTAAATAATTTTTTGTCTCTCCTCCTGTTTCTGTTTTTCTTCAGTTTTAAAACATTACCTGCTTATATTTATTTAACTCTGAAAACACACTGTCATCCATTCAGTATAATACCATTTATATCAGGTTTGCACCCATGTAGAACAATTCTGGATCTTATTTGTAGATGTATATATACTAATAGAATAAAAATTTATATGGTAATGCTAAACCTCAAAACATGGATAGTGATTGGCTCTGATGAAGAAGGAAAATGGAATCAGGAAGGGTTATATATGGGAATTTCAATATTATCTATAATACTTCATAAGTTTTTAAAATCTATACAACAGTATGGAAAAGTATTAGTATTTTGTAAGTTTCAGGGTGGTTCCATGGAGCTTATGTCATTTTCTGTCATTTGGAGTAAGTTTGACGTTTGGTAATAAAGTTTAAAGGACCATGCCACTTGCTGTATTTCAAGGTATATTTTTAAAATACCTATGTTGCTTAAAGGAATGGGATATAAATGGAATATTTTCACTGATTGGAAAACTATTACATTAAAAATATTATAATAATGTTTTAGTGTTCTTACTCCTCTTTGTAATTGACATATTCTAGAAAATACTAATAATTAAATCTTTAGGTTGCACAACCGTGATCTTGCAATGATTGGCCATCACCATATTAAGCAACAAGTCTTATTACATAGCTCTGTTGATACAAGAGGTAGAATTTTCAGACCAGCGTGTGATATTTTTAGTATATGACAGAGCTTGGAGCCTAAAGCTTTGTTGTTTATTCTTGTTTAATTTTTCTCTTTCATTTTTAACACAAGTACAGGGGAAAAAATGTAGCTGATTAAAATTTCTGATGGGTTCTAGTTTAACAGATGTTTGAACTCTTTTAGAATTGTAACAGTGTATCATCTAAGTAGGCGCTGGACAGTTCAGACTGGACAACCTGGGAGTAGGCCAAACTTTACTACCAGCTTTCCAAGGGACTCCTATTAAGTATTTAACTTGTTTAGGTCTCCTTTTCTGCACAAATGGTGGATAGATTGGACCAGCAGTGCTACAGAACATATATTGGATTCTCTATTACTTGATTAGTTAAAAATGGCAATCTCAAATACCAGTGGAAACTAGGCAGATAATAGTAAAAATAAGTGAATGTGTAGAGATTGTTTAAAAATGGAGAGTGCCTGTCAGTTGTGCTATGTGGTGTATATAGACCTAGGCTTGGCAGATGCTCCATATTTTTCCTGATGAGTCATAGATATGTCCGTTTTTATAAATAACCCTTTTTTCAAGTATTTTCAACTACTTGAAATTTGGGGAGAATTTATGGCCGAAACAAAATTAATGTGGATCATATGTAGGGTTTTGGTTGCCGTTTGTTCACGCGTTTAACCATTCAAAACTGTCTCCTTGTGTAAGACGTTGTCATAGAAGATGAAAATAGAGTACATTCAAAACCTTTGTTCCATTAGAACTTAGATTCTAGTATTCTCGTGCTGAAGAGAGGCAAAAGAGAAGCGAGGAAATAATGTAATTTCTGGTGGTAATAAATAAGTGTTACGAAAGAAGTCTGATGAGTTTGGGATGGGATGAGGTGATAGTGGCAGAAGTGGGTTAGATCCTGTGGCTTCTCTACCAAAGTGACATTTGGGTGGATATATGAATGTGAGGATAAGCCAGCCATGTGAAGATCTGGGAGACCAGTCTGAGCAGAGGAGAAAGCACATATAAAGGCCCTGATGAAGAATGAGTTGGGCTCATCAGACAATCCCAGATATAAGACTTTATAAACGGTTATGAAGAACTTCAGCATTGATTGGGCTTCCCAGGTGCTGCTAGCCGGAGAGAACCTGCCTGCCGGTGCAGGAGATGTAAGAGATGCCCGTTCAGTCCCTGGGTCGGGAAGATCCCCTGGAGATGGGAATGGCAGCCCACTCCAGTGTTCTTGCCCGGACAATCCCGTGGACAGAGGAGCCTGGCGGGCTGCAGTCCGTGGGGCCGCACAGGGTTGGACACGACTATAGTGGCTGAGCAGCACTCAGTTTACAACGCATGTATTGCGGAGCCACTGGGGGGTGTTAAGTACACAGGAGGTAGGATCTGATTTATATTTAAAAAGCTGTTTTCTCTGACTCCTCTGGTTGTGGTAGATTCTCCAGGTAAGATTAGAAGGAGAGAGACCAGTCAGGAGGCCACTGCACACTCTGGAGCCTCGGACCTACTGGTTGTGGTGAGAGAAAGGGGTACAAGTGGCAGCTGGTTTAAAAAAATCTTGAGTCATATCAATATTTTGTCCTCTCTTCTGTTAATCTCTCTTGATCTTACTTACATAGGTATTGATTGTATGAAAGAGTTTGAAGGATTTTCTCTTTCACCTGTTTTAAAACTTAAAGTGTTATTCATTGTTTGGAATTTTGAGTTTGGTTTTTCAGAAAACACTGGGCCTAGGAATTGTACCCATTCTTTCATTTCTAGATGCTGTGGTACCTGAAATAGAATATTTTCTGTAGAAAAATCTAGATATGTGTTTAGTGAATTAACTAATGTTGCTGTCTTTTAAAACAACAACAACAACAAAAACCCTGTATTTTGCATTAAAGGATTATAGATTTTTTATAATTAAGATCTAGAAATGGAAATATAAAGTGGAGAGCATTTATGTAGGATAAATTCTTAACATTCATTATTTTTCCTCTTTACTTACCCCATTTTTGTCTGTACAATGCAATATCATATACAAATGTCATTTTATTTGTATTTTTTAATGGTGGTTACTTTTGAGACATTTATCTTAGTTGTTTAACTTAATTTGCTTTCACGAATTTTCATCAGTGTTTGATAGCACATCCATCTCATTTTATTTATTAATATTCTGTGAAGTACTAAGTACTAGTGTGGAGAAATTCCAAATCTGCCTTTAACACCTTCATAATTAAGCTTTTGAAATGAATTTTAAAAAAACAAAGCTTGAATAACAAAGCAACAAAGTGGCTTAGTACTAAAGGCAGGATTACTTTGAGTTTGCAAAGCATTCTAAGCCATTGCGTCTGTCACATGGGATGACAAGAATCTGTAACAAGTTACTCTGACAACCACCTACTCCATGGAGAGATTATGCTGAGTTCATTCGAAGGTTTGTGTTTAGCTTCGCTGACAAAATGATGCTTAACCTCTTATACAGTTGGTCTTTGTGCTTTCTGAATGAGTGACTGTTGCCTTAACAGTGACCTTATAACTGTGATTTTTTGAAGTTATGAACTTAAATTTGTAATTTTAAAGTATCTAAAAAGTATTTCTGGATATATTATATGAAACTGAATTTTATATGTGATCTATAAGCATGTAGGACATTCTTTTGAAGTCTTTCTTCTTTTTAAAGTTTGTGTAATATTTATTTCTATAATATGACTCAAAAATCAATCAGTAATGCTATATGTATTTCCTGAAAAGCAATAGATGACATCATTGCCTTAAAAAGCCCCCAAATATATGTATAAAATAGATGTATTACAGTTTTGTTCTGCTGTTTCACTTAAACATCTTTTTCATGAATTGCAATCTAGTTTTTAATCACCCTCCTAATTATTTCAGTAACTGTTTATTCATTTCTTAGAAATTATTTTTCTTAATAAGGACTTCTGTGTTTTAATTGGGGGAAAGAACAAAAAGATTCTATTGTACTTACTCGGGATTCTCTTTTTCTTCACTAGATCCTGGCATATACAGAAGGGCTGCATGGGAAATGGCTGTTCTCAGAGATACGATCGATCTTTTCTCGTCGTTATCTTTTGCAAAATACAGCCCTGGAGATCTTTATGGCAAACAGAGGTAAGATGATGTTGCAGATGTATGTTGTTACAGAGCTAACGTCCATCTCCTTAAGATTTCATTTTGAACATACCATATTGTTTCCTTTCCGTATTGTTTCCATTTGGATAGAATTGTGTAACCTACTCTCTGCATTACAGATCTCTTTTTTTGAACCACGTGCATCTTCATAGTTTATACCCCTTTGGTTGTTCTTAGAATTATCTGCAGTTTCTTATTTTTCTGACAAAATCACAAATTAGTACAGGACTTAATAAATATGGGGGATAAGTACCCTTTTAATCAGTTGTAGAGTTTTGGTATCCTCAGCAGTGCTCTGATGCTTAAACTCCTGGAAGGTGGCTGCGTTTCAAGAGGGGAGAGGGTAATCAAATAATTCATACGTTTATTTAATTTTTTTGTCTAGTCTATTGCCATTTATAAAGGACCATCAGAAGATGGTACTGAACTGTCCTGGTTGCTCTGTATTACCTCATTCTTGAAAGAACTAAAATTCAATTTGTGGGTTTAGAATTGAACTTGGTGAAATTCATTAAGATTAGAAGGAGGGACAAGGTGAACTTGAAGGGAAAGCATTGTGGGGTATGAGTGGAGGTTTACAAGTGAGAGTATGTAAAATCTTGTGATTTATTGTACATGCTCGTTTTATTTAAGTAGATTTTTAAGTTTTCATATTTTCTCTTTCTATAATCTACAAGTTTTCATTTAAAAATCTGCACATAATGTATATTCCATGCATACTTTCTTTTTTTAATGGAATCATATGTCTTTAGGGAATACAGATTTCTTTAGGAAAAGATGTTTTTTCCTTCCATATCTGGTCTTCTTCTACACACTTACCACTTTTTCTAATGTAAACATTATTCTTTCAGGCAAATAATTGAGTGAATGTTTTACACTTCAGTTCAGTCTACATTCTTGCTGTCCCAAAGGGGTTTTCACCTCAAAATATTCATTACTTGCTCATCTTACTTACTTTCCTTCTTTAAAATTTCTTAAGCATCTTTGCTTTGTATCTTTGTGTGTTTTTCTACTGCCTTTTCCTTATGACCTTGATCACCTGCCATAATCTGAGTTTTTCCTTTTTTTCCACTCCTATAGTCAATGTAGTAGTGGATATGTAAGAAAGGCTTATGCAAAAGTTATGTTGGATGTTTATCTGATAGTTCTAAATATATTTTAGGTGTTTAGTGCATGATCATATACTTATTTACCTAAAAATATTGTAATGTCAGTGTTTAAAATTACACTGACATTGATAAAAATTTTTCGCCCATAGTATTTTTTCAGGTTAGGTAGAAAAAAAGGATCATCTTCTAGATGAATATTTGTAGATTATTTATGGTTCTGATACAAAAGTTAATATGATTAAAATTTCAAGACTGACCAAATTACTATCTTCTAAATTCTCTGCCATGATTTTATGACTTTGTTATTGTCATACTTTTTAAGGATAAAATTTTGTACATCACTGTCATAAATTAACATTTATATACTGAGTGTATTGATATATATGATGCACAGTTATGATGATATGTACAGTTACATATGATGTTCTCAAAGTATGTAATTATTCAAATAGAAATGATTAAAAATCATTTGATTATTGACCTTGGAGGAAAAAATTTTCTTCAGGTCACACATTGTTCTGGATTATGTGAACATACAAAGCATAAACATATAAGCACTGTATTATACGTTTATGTAATATTTACATAAGCTACAAGAAAATACAAGAATTTGCATAAATTAAAAGAGAATATTTTTAAGCTGTTGCTGATTAGAAGTAAATACAACTGACAATTTAGTAGCTATAGGTTAAGTATATTAGATTATTAAGTATATAATCTTAAATTTTTAATAGAAATTTACAGGCTTATTTTTAACTTGCCAAAATTCAACTTTGTAAATTCAGAATTGTAGCTAGATAAAATCTCAACTTTGTGTCACATTAATGAAACAATAATTATTAGTCCTGACAGTATTTAGAGAAGGAACATTCTGTGAGTAAAATAAATATCATCTCTGGCATATTAATGCTTAAACTTCATATATACTATGATAAAACTAATACTATACAACTTCTATTGAGTAGATACCTGAATTAAGAGTAAGCATTTTATTGGACCAAGAAATCAGTTTTTCAGAAAGGCACTCATATTTCATTCTGACTTTTAAAAATTATTTTTCCTAGTTGCTATAATGTTCAACTTCCCAGACCCTGCAACAGTAAAGAAAGTGGTTAACTATCTACCTCGTGTTGGCATTGGAACCAGTTTTGGATTGCCTCAAACCAGGTACTGTTTTATATGAAACAAATATGGAAAATAATCTGTAATAATATTTTTCTAATTTGTTTTGAAATGCATGACTTTCTGTTTTATGCTTCATTGTAAATGGTAATTGTTAGTGGATCATTTTGAATCAACTGAACTTCTGTCCGAAGAAGCTCAAAAAAGAGGAACAAATGTAAATGAAACTAATCTGAAAAAAGAAAGCAGTAAAACTAGAACATCAGTGAAAAGGGAAACAAAAACAATAAAGAAAAATAAATGCAATGAAAAATTGAATCTCTGAAAAGATTAATAAGAGTAATAAATATCTATATAAGGCTTATGACAGAGGACACAAAATGCCAATATCAGAATTAGAGAAGGAATATCACTACAGATCCTATAGATATTTAAAAAATAAGGGCATATTGTGAACAAATTTAGACAACTTAGATGAATCGGCAGATTCCATGAAAGATACAAACTGTAAAATCTCATTAATGAAAGTGAATAGCTTTAGTAACTCTACAGAGGAAATTGAATTTGTAGCTTAAAACCTTCTAACAGAGAAAATACCTAGCTCAAATGGTTTCACTGGCAAATTCTATCAAATGTTTAATGATGTGACACAATTTCTCGGAAAACTCTTCAGATAATTGAAAAGAAGGATAAGTTTCCCAAGTAATCCTGTAAAGCCAGCATTACCTGAATTCCAAATCCACAAAAAAACTTTTCCAGAAAGGAAGTTAAAGACCATCTTGATTGAAAAGGAAGAAGTGAAACTGTCTTTATTAGTATGTATACTTAATGTGAAATTACTGAGGAAACTGCAAAAATTTTCAAAAAAGGAAAAAAGCTATTAGAACTCAAACAAATTTACCTGTTTTGCATCATACATAATTTTGTTCTTATATAGCAATGAACAGTTGGAAACTGAAATTAAAGTGCGGTTTAAATAATATAAAAAATTAAATAACTATGGGTATATTTGCAAATACATTAAGGATTGTTCACTGAAAACTACAAACACAGTTTAGGAAAATGAAAGAAACCTAAAAGTGGAAAGTTGTACTATACCATGTTCATGAATCGGAAGACTCAATGTAAGTACGATGTTAGTTTTCTCCAACCAGATCTGTAGGTTCAAAGCAAGCCTATACAAAATTGTAGAAGACTGTTTTGGAGAAATTGACAATCTGATTCTAAAATTTAAGTGGAAATGCAAATATCTAGAATTGCTAAGACAATTTTGAAGTAGAAAAAATTGGAGGGCTTTATCTGATTTCAAGACTTAATATAAAATTACATTCACTAGTAGAGTTTGGTATTTTTGTAAAATAGACTTATAGAGCAATGAAATATAATAGTGTCCAGAAATAGACCCATCCATAAATGAGCAATTTGATTTTCAACAAAGGTATCAAGATGTACTGATGAGAGAAGATAGTTTTTTCAACAAAAAAAGAGAAAACCCCACCTCACCTTTTATCTCAAAATGTAACATATTAACTAAAAATGTAACATATGTTAGCTTAAATTAACTCAAGTATGACATGGACCAACAGACTGGTTCCAGATAGGAAAAGGAGTACATCAAGGCTGTATGTTGTCACCCTGCTTAATTTAACTTATATGCAGAGCACATCATGAGAAACACTGGGCTGGAAGAAGCACAAGCTGGAATCAAGATTGCTGGGAGAAATATCAATAACCTAAGATCCAACCAGTCCATCCAAAAGGAGATCAGTCCTGGGTGTTCATTGGAAGGACTGATGTTGAAGCTGAAACTCTAGTACTTTGGCCACCTCATGCAAAGAGCTGACTCATTTGAAAAGACCCTGATGCTAGGAGGGATTGGGGGCAGGAGGAGAAGGGGACCACAGAGGGTGAGTTGACTGGATGGCATCACCGACTCAATCGGCATGAGTTTGAGTAAACTCTGGGAGTTAGTGATGGACAGGGAGGTCTGGCTTGTTGCAATTCATGGGGTCGCAAAGAGTTGGACACGACGGAGCGACTGAACTGAACTGAACATAACCTAAGCATAAGTGCTGAAGTATAACTTCCTAAAGAAAACATAGGAGAGAAATCTTTGTGACCTTGTGTTAGGCAGAGACTTTTTAAATAAGATTTTAAGAAACCACTTATTGGCCTTTCAAATTAAGATCATTTGATTTTAAGATACTCAAGAAAATGAAAAGGTATGCTATAGACTGAGTTGAAATATTGGTACAACTTATATGTGATAAAGGATTTATAGGAAACTCTTCCATTTAATTATAAGACAAGCAGACTGTTTGAAAAAAATAAAAGATTTGAGCAGATACTTCAGCAAAGAACAGATATAAATATCAAGCATATGAAAAGATACCAAACATCATTAGTCATCAAGTAAATGATGATATCATTTTAAAACCACAGTGAGATCCCATGGCACACCTATTAGAATGACTTCTTAAAAAATGATAATAACAAGAACTAATAAGAATGCAAAGTAACTGGAACTTCACATATTGATGGGAAAGTAAGCAGTTTTGCAGTTTCATATAAAATTAACCATGCTGTTATACTTCCTGGTTCAGTTCACTTCAGTTGCTCAGTTGTGTCCAATTCTTTGCGAGCCCATGGACTGCACCTTGCCAGAGCTCCCTGTTCATCACCAACTCCTGGAGTTTACTCAAACTCATCTCCATTGAGTTGGTAATGCCTTCCAACCATCTCATACTCTGTCGTCCACTTTTCCTCCCACCTTCAATCTTTCCCAGCATCAGGGTCTTATCAAATGAGTCAGCTCTTTGCATCAGGTGGCCAAAGTATTGGAGTTTCAGTTTCAACATCAGTCCTTTCAGTGAACACTTAGGACTGATCTCCTTTAGAATGGACTAATTGGATCGCCTTGCAGTCCAAGGGACTCTCAAGAGTCTTCTCCAACACCAAAAGCATCAATTCTTCGGTGCTCAGCTTTCTTTATAGTCCAACTCTCATATCCATACATGCTGCTGCTAAGCAACTTTAGTCATGTCCAACTCTGAGCGACCGCATATACAGCAGCCCACCAGACTCCCCCGTCCCTGGAGTTCTCCAGGCAAGAACACTGGAGTGGGTTGCCATTTCCTTCTCCAATGCATGAAAGTGAAAAGTGAAAGTGAAGACGTTCAGTCGTGTCTGACTCTTAGTGACCTCATGGATTGCAGCCTGCCAGGCTCCTCTGCCCATGGGATTTTCCAGGCAAGAGTACTGGAGTGGGATGCCATTGCCTTCTCCACATCCATACATGACTACTGGAAAAACCATAGCCTTGACTAGACAAATCTTTGTTGGCAAAGTAATGTCTCTGCTTTTTAATATGCTGTCTAGGTTGGTCATAACTTTCAAGGAGCAAGCGTCTTTTAATTTCATGACTCCAGTCACCATCTGCAGTGATTTTGGAGCTCCCAAAATAAAGTCAACCACTGTTTTCACTGTTTCCCCATCTATTGGCCATGAAGTGATAGGAATGGATGACATGATCTTAGGTTTCTGAATGTTGAGCTTTAAGCCAACTTATTCACTCTCCTCTTTCACTTTCATCAAGAGGCTCTTTAGTTCTTCTTCACTTTCTTCCATAAGGTTGGTGTCATCTGTATATCTGAGGTTATTCATAGTTCTCACAGCAATCCAGAGTCCAGCTTGTGCTTCATCTAGCCCAGTGTTTCTCATGATGTACTCTGCATATAAGTTAAATAAGCAGGGTGACGATATACAGCCTTGACATACTCCTTTTCCTATTTGGAACCAGTCTGTTGTTCCATGTCCAGTTCTAACTGTTGCTTC